CATGTGATGAAAATTAAAGTGAAAGTTTTGGGCCCAGAGCCGAAAAAAATCTGTGTATGCGCACGAGGCTGTTGATGTGCAAATGTGAATCATATTGAGAAGGTCTGAATAGGGAGGTGTGACGTAAGGAGGGCTACACACGCAGGTGCTTATCTCTAAGCAGTCAAAGCCACTGGATGTCATATCATGGGAACTACCTTTCAAAGAAACAGCTTTAGTGTGTCCTTTCAGCACACAGGGGAGGAGAGAAATATAAGTTTTGGAAACACACAAAAAAGTAAGTTTAAAACTTTTCAACGGCATCCTTTCCACCCTGATGTTTAAGTCACTCAGACTGTGTGAGCAAGTTTTCAGGTCTTCAGTCATAACAGATACTTTTGTTTCTGGCAGGGGGTTGGTTGGGTGGTAGGGGGTGTTACCAGAGGTTGAAGTTCAGAAGGTTTTCTGATGTTTGTTTTGAACTTGTTTTTGGTTTCTGCTGTGATGTATACTTGACATTATTTAAAATGTTATTTCTCTCTCTCTCTCTTTGGAAAAAAAAGGTTACTGTATCTGTTTTGAGAAGGATTTGGGAATAAAATGTCATGGTGCAATTGCATTTATACTGCATCAGTAACGCCTTTGTTCATAAACATTTTTGAAACCTATGAATTTGCAACAGAAAATATTTGATATGAGATGAGACTGAGCACACTTTTTTCCGCTGCAGAAAAGTAGAAGTAATTTTTTAAGATCACAGAAATTATCAGTGATATCTCAAATTGGACATGTTTCTAGAACTGAAATCTTGTTAGGGTTGATAACATAATTTTACACAAAAAGCTATTATCAAAAAGAAGTTTCATATATTCTTTGTTGAAAAATCAAAATTCTGGTATTAGCTATATGCAAAGAGTTTTGGGATGTCCTTAAGAAATTTAAATTGGTAAGTTGAAGTATTGTACATATAATTTTGTATTCAAAGATTTAGGGCATTGAATAACAGCAGTCTGTCCTTTAAAAATGATACAGTTCATTTCTGATAGATGTGGATGTCAGAAGAGTCTTTAGAAAGTTAAAGCGTAAGATTAGAGAAGGCTGAAGAATGAGAAATACTTAATATCAACCTTGATGTAATTTTGCAGAAGGATGATTTCAGTGAAAGATTTCTTAGTGCAGAGAAAAATTTCAGATACTTAGATAAGTAGTACTTTGGCTCATATTCCTTTTGCCTTAGCAATGCAGCATAAAGATGCTTGCTTTGATATACATGGGACTAATCAAAGTTTCCTTAAAGAGGTGTAGTGATCTTTTTTTCAGTTTTGAAGAACAAAGCAGCTAATGGGAAAAGCATGTAATATAACTTCTCCAGTCTTATTTTTTTAAAAAGAAGTGTGGCTTATTGTCACAAAGAGTTACATCAAAATATCTTAAACAATAACTGACACTGCAAAACCCAATATATTAAAATGAAAATTTTATGAAGAAATCTTGAATATAATTATATGGACTATCTTTACAATGGGGGAATAATAAATTGTAGGGAATAATCAGATTCAGAATCCAAAATAGGACTGAAATTATACTTTCCCTAACTTTGTTTTTATTTTTCCTTGCGAATATCATTTCAGAGTTTCCTACTTTTGTGCTTGTAACCTAAGATTACCAGTGTTCTTTCCTCCTTCTTCTAAATATTCAATTACTCAGTGATGATTATTATGTGGCCTTCTTCGTTTACTACAATATTAGATTAATATAGATTTCTTGTGCCAAATTAGCGGAAATCACTGTTGCACATAAGAGTGATTCACTTTTTTAGTCATATTTATGTTACAGGAGGAGCATCATTTTAAGCTTAAAAGCTTTTATATTCTAAATTTGGATGCACTGCACCTTGGAGAACATGGGGTGGCTGTATTCAAATTATTTTAAAGTGCATTGGAACTTTTATAAGATTCTAATTTAGTTATGTTTAAAGGAGAGTTTTTTTGAGTGGCTGTAATATGTTGTAATATCATGATTTAAAGTTTTGTGGATTCTCTTACAATAAACAATTGCAAAGTGATCTAGAAAAGAATAGAAATATCGGAGCTGTCCATGGTAGCTTGTTCCTTAAAAGTTAACAGTTATAAAATGCATATCTATATACCCTGTGTAATTAGATTTGTCACCATTTTTAAAGGGCAGGATTACATTCTTGTTAGATAAGTTAACCTGGCAGATACAGCCCTTATTTGCACATGATGTAACAATCTTATACCGAAGTTGCAAGACCTAGCCAAACTTTAAACTTCTGTAATGTTAGTGAGTGCTCTTGGATACAGCTTTAAACTATTTATATGTTTATAAACAAAAACTTTAGCTATTAAATATATAACTCTGCATGTTAACATTAATAGGGAGGCACAGTGCAAATAATCTCTATGGTAGTAGAGCAATGTGAACAAACATCAAAAAATTGTAACTTGCATGACTTTATTGCTCTTGAAATTAATTCCTGTCCTTATGTGACCTGCCATGCCTGCTATAGAAATCCAAAAGATCATAATTGTTTGATATGAAATGCAAAAAGAAGAGTTAAATTGAAAGTTTAACATCATGAAATTCAAAATCCCAAGCGGTATATAAACATTAAAAGAAACTTTGGACTGCTAATCCTAGGAAATGAGTTTTATGGATTGAATTCAACAAGGCTTCAGAAATGGTTCCATCTGCTGCCTAGCAGCTGGTGAAAGGATAAATTTAATTCATTAATTCATTTGGAAAAAAGGATCCAAGTAGTAAAGACTTCATTGCTCATAATGCATATAGGTGAAAATACAAACTGAAATCTGGTCCATTTGATCATCCTAGATAATGAGTTACATTGTCACACCTTTTTGGTAAAGGTACTAGTGATTGAGTCAATACGGTGTTTTTTTTTTATGACAATAGCCAATCATTTCCAATCATTTCAATGTTTTAAAAAACTCAGGGAGATTTAAAGTTTCAGTATTTAATCTATAGAACTACAGGCAGTATAAATTATGTACCTTCTCATTTTGCTTAGGTATATATGGGAGGTAGAGTGTATATCTATGATTGTAATATATGCATTTACATATATGCTTATGTACAAATATATTGTTAATTGTATATTCAATTTCAGTGACATATTGAACTTCAGCGACCTATTTATATTGGGCAAGCATCCTCTCCTATTTGTTGAAACGTTCAAAATTATTTAATATTTACTATTAATATAAGTAAATCATATTTAGTTTCAAAATTCATATTTATTAAAAGGTTACAAGATTGGAATAACACTGGTTTCATTTTCTCCTTTCTGTCCTTCACATTGTTTTCCAATCACACCCTGCAGAGGGCTTTAAAGATCAAAAAGTTGTACCTGAAGAAGTCTTTTCCCTTTCCCTCTGCCATGCTAATTAATTTTGCATAAGGAGGTAAAATCCATAAGACATGGGGGAAACGTTTAATACAGGACTTTATATAAATATAGTGAAGGTTTGATGTGAAGTTTTTTGAATCGTTTCCTTTCAACCAGTGCAATAATAAAGTATTAGAAAGTTAATATTGCATTCTTGTAATGTGTAATCATGTTGGTGGATTTTTTAAAAACTGCTAGCATTTTCATAAGAGTGAAGTTTGCCTTAGAAGTAAGTACGTAGCTCACCTTGTCTGAAAAGGTGTTTCCTGGTTGCCAGTTAATTGCTCTGTGATAGAGATAAGAATATCCCAGAGAGCAAGGGCTGCTTTAGTAGCCAGTGTCCATTTTAGCCATTCCTTTTGGATGGTGATTTCATGAATGGTGTTTTGACTTCTCTTTCTCTGTGGCCCATAGCTCACTGTGGTGGGTTTGTTGGATTTACTATAAAGGTTCTGTTTGCACCCTGTGGGTTGGGTTAAGAATCAGGGTTTATGCATTTACTTGTACTGTTGCATTGTTTAGACAGCTTTGGTTTAGTTTTGATCTTTTTTTCTTTTTTCTTCTTTTTTTTTTTTTTGCCTTTGAGGCTCTTCCACAGTGTCAGCTGCTGACTGATAGTAGGAAAACGGCCTCATGGTGTGAATGAAAGGGACCTAGCGGTTGGTAAACAGAGATAAGGAATAAATAGAGCACAGGCAAAAGGAGATAGTTCTGTGGGGGCCCAGATTGCTGCCAGTCTGTTCAAGGGAGATGCAGAGCCTGTCCTTTTCCCAGATTAAATTAGTGTGCGAAATCTCCAGTGACCTCCTCCCCTTCTCCCCACACTCTTTAGCCAAGCTGAACAGCCTCTGCTGTAAAGTATTCATTTTATCCAGGGACAAGCTGGACAATAGAACTCTCCCTGATACTTATGGACAGCTGTCTTCATTCATAGTGCGCTCAGCATTTCATTTTTCATAGGAGTTAAAAGGGTTTTTACCTTGGAACTCAAAGGGGGTTGAAATGCAACTTTGCCAGTTCTGAAAACTGCTTGGGCAGGGGGCAGGTTCAGGAGTGGGGGGCAGCTAGCAGCAAGGAGAAATTGCTCAGGGAAGCGATTATGTTTTGTTGTGCTTTATAGAATTAAGCTAAGAAATTAAATTTAAAAACCTATTTACTTGTTGAGAGGAAAAATCTTTAATCCTGAAAGTTTCCTAAAATTAAGCTCATCAGTGCAAAGTAGACAATTCATCTTCACCCACTCTGCCTTCCTTTTGGCTAAATATACATGCACTTTATTACCTGTGAATAACCACAAGTAAATATTAAGCCTGTAAGGTACTTTGGTGGTCCAATTTTAAAATTTTTTTAGTGATTTACTGCAAATATATTCAGCATTTGACTGATTAAATAGACCTTCGGCAACCTTGAGGGTCACTGCGTAGAGTGTGTACATAGAAAATGCATCAGCCCATTGTACCCTGGCAGCTAATGAGATTGGTCGTTAAGTAAATGACACAAAGCCTACAAAAAAAGCTTACAGCTCACTAGAGTATCACAGAGTGTCCCTGCACACCACACAACGACACAAACACTGGACTAACCTAGCCCACCCTGCTTTATTCTACATCACTGCTTCCCTGATGTCAGCGTGAGAGGCAGAACAAAGGCTAGGAGGCACCGGTAAGTCAGTCTGGCAATTAAGCCCTAGGGAGAAAGTGGAACCAATCTTAGCCTAACGGTGGGGCCGAAAGTCCGTCTTTCTCGACAAGTAGGTCAGGATGAGGGGATTTTGCTATTACGTCTGGAAATACTGCTTCAGTGATCAGCGCTCTTGTTGTGTTGTTTTTGTTGTTTTCCTTTGCCATTTCACAAAAGTTTATAAATTTCAAAAGTCAAGTATACCCCAAAAGGCAGTGAACATGAATTTTAGAGGTCAACTATGTGTTAGAGAAAGGGTGCTTTCACAAATATCTGTCATTCAGGTGCGTGTGCAGGTTTGAAAACTTTCAAATGCATGAGGCAACTTTAATTTTAGTTTGTCCTACTGCTTCTGAAAGGTAATGGAAACGTGGGTCATTAATGTGAGCAAGGAAGTTCATTCTTGATGATATGAAATGTCCCAGCCACTAATATGTATTTAGCATACATAGGATAACCATTTCCTTGATCTGTATCTTAAAAATCAGTCAATCAAACACAACAAAACAAGAAAATAATGCTTCTCTCTTTCTTTCAGTTCTCTTGAATCTGAAAATAAAATCATTGCTGTGAGCCTATAATATTGAATAGGATTAGTGATTATTTCCTTGCTGTACTTGGGGGGAAATCAAAGCTATCTGACACTGAAGCAGCATTTCGTTTGAAAAAAAAAATGCATTTGTAGTATTGAAGTGTAACATTGCAGGATCCTTTTAGAGAAATATGGCAGCAGGAAGTTGCCAGAAAGTCTTATTTGCCTTGCTGAAATGCCTGTCTGCCTTAGGTGTGTGTATTCAGAGGATGTTTAGTTCAAGAGAGGATGATTTTGTTACAAGACATTCAGGTAAATTAAATGTTTTATTCTAAGAATTGTCAGCTTAAGTGTGTTGTCAGTGGTTTAATAAACTCTTGACACTCTCACTGAAAACATTAAAAAAGTATTGTTAATGTAAGTGTGGTGTTATAAGATAGATGTATTCATAATATCAGTGTCAAGGTTCAATTTTTAAAGGCACTGTCATTTAATATTAGAACATAATCATGTGTTCAAGGATTAAAACTATATTATATAGAAATAAGTTTGCTAATTTGCATTACTTACATGAAACATTTTTATTTATGTAAGGATAGAGGGATATTTTGATGCAGAATAAATAGCTTATTAATATTCATGAGAGTCATAATATAGGTTCACGATATGGTCTGAGTGATCACAGGTCACATACTTCTTTACTATTTTTGTCTTGAAGTACTTTTCCGCTTTCAAATGTATTCATAATGTTCCTTTCACTTATTTAATCTGTTTAGGACTAGGTGTGTCTCTGAACAGCAGATAATAATATGTATTTTGAACTCTAAATATTCTTTTCTTAATAAACAAAATTTAGAAAGAAAGAAATTTCCCAAACAGGGTAGTATAATAATGTCTTGTTAATTTCAAGGGAAACCTAGGTAGGGAAGATATATTTTGATTTTACTAAGTTGAGATTTTTCTAATATGTCATTTATCCTCATGTCCTCCCTATGATAAGAAACATGGAAAAATCAAGCCATTTGAAAATGGCTACAGTTGCTACCTAGCAATTTCAGTTTAGGGTAGACTTATGCAACTACTAGTTTATCCTTTCAGGTGTATATATCACATTTTCCTTCTGTGCTGAACATTTGCAATTTGAATATCATGTGCTATAATTTATTTTCTGTAGTTGCAGTGTTCATCCTGTTAGTGCAGGAGTGAATGCCTCAGAAAACACACGATCCTTTTGGATGCTATACACTCCCACTCTCACAGGCGAAGTATAGGGTGGAAAAACTTGCCTGAAGTCTGTAAGTTGCATCTCTGTGGATAAAACTGTGTGGACATACTTTCACAGAAATGTATCTGCCATTCTTCAAAGCAAAACAGGGTTGTGTTGTAATTAAGATCAGAGGGCAGAGATCATTACTTTTGGTTTATGCAAACTTGTTTCTACCAGTATTGGTCTTTCATTTGAAAGGTTTTTTGTTTAGCAAAGAATCTGTTTTTCTTTTTCCTGTTGTATAGTTCCCTTCTTAAAAAAATTTGAATACCTTGATTTTTGTTGAAAGAGGAAACTTTGTATTACTGAACTTTTATCCCAGTTCATATAACAAGTGAATATTAAACTCTTTTGGTTAAAAAGATTTTAGTAGGTGCAAGAGCAATATAGAGCCTTTCTGTATCCTAAGAATACACCATCTAAAACAAGAGATAAGGCTTTGCCTCAAGAATAAGGCAGTTGGTATAAGTACTGTATAAGGGACAAAAAGTCACAAGAGAATCTGCAATGGTCTCATCTCGAGTTTATCATACATTTGAAACCTGGTTCTCCCACTCAATCTGTGGACCCTGGATAAATTCTGTAGCTTTTCTGGGCCTGAGTTTTCTGCTCTGTTTGACAGGGGTCAAAGGTGGTGGTGGGTGCTCCAAGCTCTTGGTGTATCATATTTGGTGTTTTAAACTTGCACTTGGAGTTTAAAAGAGCACGTGGACAGCCACTGCCATGTCACACACTTCCTATGTGTCCACATCCACCAGTTCAGAACTTTTTCTTCTGTTCTCACTTTCAGAGCCCAGATTTTGTGAGATCCCTTGAAGGATTGTGTCTATTCCATTTTATGTGGCTGCATGCTCATGTCAAGCCTAAGGTAACGTGTTAAAAATACTCAAGGCATTTTAATTATACATGATTAAGTAGATGCTTTATATGTACATAGTTTTATTAGTAGCTACCAAAAGAACATATTAGAATTCCATTATCCTTCAGCTTAAATTTTCTGTAAGCCAAAATATTTAATTTCCTTTACATTAAAAAAGAAATATCTAGAATTTAAATAATTATTGCAAAGTTCTTTAACTATTGCGCTTACAGAGTTTATTTCTCATGCTTTTATTAATGATTTTATTGTTTGTAACTTTGAGATTTTTTTATGTTTTTGGCTCAGAATATTTCTTTGCATTGAAACTTTGAATTAAGTATAAATGTTCCCTCTTAAAAGACATTGGTACTGAAAATATTTTGTTTTATTTTACCACCCACATGAAAAAGAGTTTTACTTTGTTTATTATTGAATATTTTGTCTTTAAAATTTCATTCCAGTGAATTAAGTGATATCTGGATTTCCTTACAATAATTTAAATATGATTTGATTAAATTTATAAGTTTTCAGACAAGAATTTAATACTTTTTAGTCTAACTCTTTAGATTTTCGATTATAGGAATAATTTTTCTGATGGGTTTTGACCTGTACAGTTAGCTGCAACTTCAGGAGAATGTTGATGCTAAGAAGAATTTCTTATCTCACATATTTTTTGTCTACAGGAAAATTTTATTAACTCATGAAAACGCCAATGCCTTTGCAATTTTATTAGTAACTTACACCATAAAATAGAATTAAGTTAATAGTATAATAGCTGTTTAGAGCATTTTATTTGATTTATATAGCATAAATACATTTCTAAGTGTCTATATTAAATGCATGTTGTCTAAATATACTTAAAATTTATAATTTTTGCTTTTCTAGTTAAATATTTATTAATTTAAACTAGTCTAAGAAAGAGTTACATTTGATAATTCCAGGAAATACATTGACTTTACTATTTTACCCCCCCAAAAAAAATCTGATTTTTTTTTTGTGGTACACTTTCTTGACTTGTTCCAAAATTTAAAAGTTGCATAGTTAATTCAACTTAATTTTTCTAAAATATGAGGTTTGTCTTCTTTAGGGAGCTTGGCTAAAGGCCAGTGTGTAAAAACCTCACCTCATCCTTCTGTCAGTTGTGTCATTTATGTGTCCAGTTTTTGTCTGTATTCATATTCATGCCTGGCCTGAGACAAAACTTAGTCACCATGACTCATAGTGTTACACAGAACCAGCTCAAAATGAAATGGCTAATTGTTTAAGTAGAATAAACAATATTTTTAGTTTATGATATAGATTCTTAAAGATATTTCAAAAAGAAAGACTTTGTTACTGAAAACAATTTGTTAAAAATACCATAAGCTAGAAAGATGCATCCGCAGCTCGCTTGTTTCTGTATATCTTTGGTATGATTTAGAATGGAGATATTTACCACTTTAAATTCTCCTCTTCCAAATTTAAAACAATGGTAGGGAATTAGTGTTCACATTTCTACTCTGAAGGGTGAAAATGAGGTGAGGATGAAATATGCTCATGAAGAAAATGAAATCAGGAAAAGATTGAGGCTTACAATATGACTCGTCTGGAAAAAGGGCAAAAATTAGAGTATGCAACCTTTTATATACAGAGCGCTTCGTCTTTTTGTGTGTAAAAGATACCAGTGACTACCAAAAGGGTTAAAGAAAATGCATTCTGTTGCATCTGCTTACTAAATCCCTTACTTTAGTAGAAATTCAAATTTTGTAAAGATTATTCGTTTTATTGATGCATATAATTATAATCACAAGCCATCTGCTGATTTGGCAGGCATGGTTAAAATTCTCTAACTCTCATAACCTTTCAAGTACAGTGCCCTTGGGACTCTATTTCACTTTTATATTTTGGAAAACATGTAGGGACAAATAAGGGCGGTCATCTGCAGAATGTCAGACCTGGTGAAATGAAAGAATGGGGATCAGAGTTGCTGTTTTGGTTAATTTTAATGCTAGAAGTTAAATTTTCTTTTTCTTTTTTCACTTCTGCTTCTGACTTCATGAAGGATTACCCTAGTTTCTACGACATATTTGGGAATATTTTTCCTAGAGATTAAAGCTTTGTCATTTTACTCCAAAAGGCAGGTTCCAAGTCTAGCCAATATGAACACACAAAAAACCCTCCCAGAATTGCTTACATTGGCTTTTACAGGTAAATTCAGCATATTTTACTTAGACTTTTTGAACCAATGAAATATTTCACCATTTTTATTTTTCTGAACTAGATTCAGTTGAATAACCTTCCAGTCTAGATTTCCAATTGTAAAACAGTTTGTACATTTTGACATAGACATTTTGATTTAAAGGTCAAATTTCCAAGCACTCCGTTTTTAAGGGGTGTGGTAAAATCATGCACTGATTGCATTCCCATGGTAGGTATCATCATGTGGCCCTTCTTTCCGACTATAAACACTTGAAATTTGCTCAAGTTTTGTGTCTGATTCATTCACTTCTTGGAGAATGTTTCTTCCATAATCAAACTTCATCACCAATAGTATTTCAAGGGTTAGTTTTCACATATTAGAGCTATTATGTAGAACAGGTCACTAAAAAATGCAAGTAAAGTGGAAGGGAATCTAGAGAAGCCACCGGCCCCCAGGGCTTTGCTTTGTCACATAATAGAAACACAGGTACACAGTTTTACTATTCTGCTTCTTTCTCTCTTTCACACACACACACACACACACACACACACACACATACACACTCTGTGAAATCATCAACTAGAGAACTATTTCCTACCATTAAGTAATTAAAAAAAACACCTTATTATACCAATATTGTATATATGGATTTTTTTACATCAATGATGAAATATATGACTATAATTATAGTAACAATAATAACCTTTAACATTTACCAAATGCTTACACCTTGCAAGGCATACTGTTACATTCTTTACATGGATTGTATCATTTAATACTCATCATATTTGCATCCCATCTTTACAGAAGAAGCAGCTGAGGCCAAGAGAAAGGATGTGCTTCCTAGGTCACTGGCATGAGGTGACCTTAGCCCAAATCTAACTGTCTCACAAAACTGTGTTCTTAATCTCTGCCTTTGTTACACAGATTCTGGGAACAGAATATAGGTAAAAAACCAGGGTCAATAACATAGTTTTCAACTGACACAGGGTCACAGGTATGCTTGAGTTTCATTATAGTTAAGTATCACTAAGAAATTTAACCATCGTGATGAAGCGACTGGAGAAATTCCTTTACTTTCCTTACCAACAACATGTCACATTAAGGGTGACCCCAGGATCCTTTTCACCCCTAAATTCTATAACTCTATGAAATGTTTATAATTAAAACATCTACTGAATTTGAAAAATAGTGCAAAGACAGCGTAGGCACTCATTATACTTCTCCAAAACATATGCATTTAGCATGCTAATTAACTTTGATATAAGAACCACATGAGCTTTTGCTCTATGCTGCACATCAGATCAGAAGTTAAACATCTAGCCAAAGAGACAAAAATCTTAGCTCTCTGAGTATAAACATAGATATTAAAACATATGATAATTGAATTTTTTCCTGTACTTATTTTGGTGTTAAGTGGAAAATATTTTTCTATAACGATAATAGTAATGAAATATGTAACATCACTCTTCGAAGTATTTTATAAGCGTACATTCTTCTAACTCTCAAAGCCTCCACCACCACCACAACAATAGCCTATAGTTTAAAACATGCTATCACCCCCTATGCAGAGATGGGAAAGAAGTGCCGTGGGGGTGCCTTGTACCAGCTGTGACTCCATAGCTGCATGGTCAAAGTACAAGTCAACCTAGGTGCCACACATTCTGCTTCTGTGCTTTCTCTCTGTGGCCTTGTCATTAGCATTTTACTTGAAAGAAGGCTCTGCTCCTTAAAAAAGTATTTGGAAACCTAGATTACAGGTTACAAACATGTTTAGACATGCTGTAATATTTGTTTTTATATGTTAGATCTTAATTAGGCAGTTGCTATTACAATACTCATATAGTTTCCTTAAATTACTATAGATGATTAACCTGGGGGCACTTTTTAATCTTTTGCACACACCACATTGAAAATACAATGGTGAGAAAAAACAGTCAAGTTAACGAGGTTTAACAAAAATCCTTTAGAATTGAAACTATAATTAAAATCATTGTATCTTTCTCAGTACCTAGCAGAGAAACTCTAACCATATTGAGAAATTCATGAGTGTTTGTTGAAAAAAAAATTTAAGAATGAAAATTTCTATCATTAAAACCCTTCTCTATAGATATCACATCAAGTTCACAAGTTCAAAATATTTTATCCTAGCCAGATAAGACTGAAAAAGGTGTTTGTACTTCTTATGTATTAAAGCTTCCAGGAGGTGCAGTAAAGAAAATGTAAATAGCTGAGCTAAAAAATTATGAATAGGTTATTGGGGTTCTGTGTAATTCCTTGACTAAGAACTCCTTATGTGCCTGATTGTTTTCTGAAGCACAGAGAATAAATATAGGCCACAGCAGCTGCCCTCCAGGTCCTTGTCAGACAAAGTAGAGCCAAGTGACACAGGTGATGCTCCCACCTTCGTTTGGGCCACTGTTCACATGACAGTACTTTTCTGCCATACCGTGGCCTGTGCAAGCTTAAAACAGGATGTTGCCACATATGGTTCTATTCTGCTACTCAGTCTTAATGTGTACCCGGAGCATCTCGCCAGGCATAGCCAATTCTGTTTATCTTCTAAAAGACAAATCTCCAAAAATATGGCTTACAGGTAGCATCACAGAAGATTTCACTGAAGAGGGACTTAAAAAATCTTGAAACCAGAGTGAGGACGAAGCTCGGTGGTAGGGCGCTTACCTAAATCTATGAAGACTTGCATTTGAGCCCTAATGCTGAAAAAAAGTCTTCTATCTATTCGACAAACTCCTTGAGAGTCCACTGTATTTTAGCAATTGTCCAGCACCAAGGATCAGACATGAGTGCTCAGATGGGTCACAATAGAGCG